GTCTCACAGTCTCAGAACATTTCTCACTTGCCTGAGCCCCTCCCTCTACCTCAGCAGTGGCTGCTGGCTTGACCCAGATTGAGCCCTGGTGGAGAATTCAGAATTGGGACCCTCTTTCTTGGCTTCCACTACATTATTAGATTTTATTCCCTACACAGGCGCAGCCAAGAACACAGCGCAAGGGATTCTCACTCATCATCTGATAGCAGCCAACCTGTAACCAAGGTGTACCAAGGACTTACTGAAGGGCATTAAATACTGTTGAGGGAACTTCAAATGTTCCCAGTTTTCCTCTTTATAAAATATGACCTCTAGAAAAGTGTGCCCCCAGGATAAAGGGTCAATCGTAACTTCTAATCTCCAGATTCCAAATACACACTCACAATCTTCAACCTGCTTAGAAACAACATGCATAGCCCCACATACTGCTAGTAAAACACTGGATGCAAATTAGATTAAAAACCACCACCACACAGAGTGGTTGTGCATGCCTATAATCCCAAGGGCTTGGGAGGCTAAGAAAGGAGGATTGCAAGTTTGATGACTTAGCAAGTGACTTAGCAAGATCTCAGTGACTTAGCAAGACCCTGTCTCAAAATTAAAAAAAAAAAAAAAAAATAGGGATGGGGATGTGGCTCAGTGGTTAAGCATCCCTGGGTTCAATCCATAGTATTACCAAAAAAAGAAAAGCAAACACCACCACCTTTCACAGTCAAAGGCTAACTGTAAAAACAACCTACTAGCTACCAGTGCTTAACCCAGATCAGATCAATTCCAATGCCTAGACTCTTTTTTTGGGTAAGAAGTTGCCAAAAGAAAAAAAAAAAGGGAGCGGAGAGATAGGAAAAGAGAACAAGTAATAATGATCACATTAGGCCATTTACAATGATATTACATGAACAGCAAGGAATTGGTGCACAATCATAACCCCATACGTGCGATGTTTATCTTAGGAGATTTTCAGAAGAAAAGTAAATCTGGAAGGTTTTTTTGTGTTGTTGCATTAAATTGTCAGCATTTCCTGGACAGCTTCATGTAAACAACATAATTTGTGTCCAGTGAAAACAGGGACCTGTTCTCAGATTCACCATGGGACAGCACCTTTCATATGCTAACAAACCTTTCCTACACCCTTTCTTCCTCCAGGGACCCTTACTCCCTCTATTTCAAAAGATCCTGTAACACCTATTTGTATTAATGTTCCTGCTTCATCAACCCTCTCCCATGAACACTGTCTAGGAGGGAATATCAAAAAACTTATTTCATAAACATTGTCCAAAAAAGACCTAGTTTAGAGACTGGGTAAAAAGTCTTCCAAGGATATATTTGACATGGGGGATAGGGAGAACCTGTGTGATTCCCTCACAGGGTATCTGAGAGTAAGATGGCCAACTTCCAAATATTACTTTTGCCTTCTACTAAGAAGGCCAGGAGGGATACCCATCAGGACTAAAGCATGCAAAAACATGCAAATGCAGGAAATCTCGAGATGGCTTAGGGGAAATTGAGATTCACAGGACATCAATCATGGATCTTCCAATTCTGATATATCAGGCTATACAGCTGAGCTTGTCCAACCAAAGTATTTCCAACGCAGCCACCTGGATGCAAAGGAATCATGGTACAAAACACTGGAATGAAAAAGAAGTTTCACTGGGAGGGCCAAGAGAGAAACCTATTTTTAAAAAGAGTTTGTGCTGAATAGCTGGAGAATGCAAAAGAGCTAAAAGGTTAACCCTTCCAGGTAACATGATTTTAACATCCTGTGACTGGAGATGCCGTACCAGATATTTAAATGAATTGTAAGTAGGATTTGCTTTAAAATAATGAGCGGAGACAGGCAGAGTAAAGAAGCATGACCAGAGAGAGGAAACTGGGAGGTACTTGGGAATGAAATTAGCCAAATTAACTGTTATATTATTGCATGTACAAATATGTAACAAGAATCTCATTGTTGTGTATAATTATAATCACCAAAAAGGAGAAGAAGAAAAAAATATTTGGACGGGGTGGGGTGGGGTGGGGTGCGAAGGGGGCATAGATGAAATCAGACTGAGTTGACAACTGTGGAAGCCCAGTAAGAGATAATAGAGGTCCATTATAGTCTTCTGTATTTATGTTTTTTATAATAATTTTTTTGAAAAAAGATATAGAAGAATGCAAGATGCACAATATCAGGTTTGATAATCCTTCCGCTTTGCGCTTTGAAAGCCATCACTTGAAGCACTAAAGGGGAGGCGGATTCCACACCTGCCCTGCTGTTCAAAGAGTAAAAGCCACCCTTTGCCGATTCGGATCCCCTGGGGAAAGACCTATGCCGGGGCTGTTTTCAAAGCCTTCTTCAACTACAGAGACCCTGAATCCCGAACTGGATTTGGGTTAAGATCTCACAAAGAAGACCCTAATCCAATACTAGAAGCATTTTTATCCCTCTGGTCAAACACTGAAATGCTTCAAAGGTATCATGGGAGTCCCCCAGAGAACTCTGGACACCCCGCACTACACACACACACACACACACACACACACACGATTTCAGACGTCCAAGGAGCTGGAGAGGAGACCAGTGGCCCCCTCCTGGCGCCCAGGGGCGTCGCAGCCCCCCAGCCTCGAACCTGGGCGGGTGAGCCCCATCCCCGCTGCGTGGAGGTGGCGGAGGCCCACCAGTGGAGGTGGCAGGAACACGATGAGTGGCTCGGGGGCGCCCCCTGAGGTCCACCGGCGTCGCGGCACCCTCGGAAAACCGAAAACCGGTGTCTTTCAGGGCTCTGACATTTTAACTTTGCCTGGTTCTAAAAGCCGCGACACACTCTTCTGGCTGTACTTTTCCAAACCATGCCTCCCACCACCCCCCTTCCCTTCCTACACCCCTCGGCTCCCGGACAAGGATAAAGACTATTTATCTCGCATCACGGGCACAGAAATAAAATAGGGAATAAGAAAGTGGTCCAAGCCCCACCAAGGCAGCATCCCTGACAAGTCCCATTTTGGATTTCAAGCTTCCTTAGACACCAAAAGAAAAAAAAGAAAAGAAGAAAAAGAAAGAAAGAAGAAAATCATGGTGGGAACATTAACTCCATCACCGAATAGGAAGGCCAGAAATGACACTGGGAATTGGTTTCTCAAGGCTGCCCTCCGATGCCTTTCCCCTTCCCCTATTTAAGCGTGGCCCTCACAAAGCCCCTGTGTGTACCTGAACCCACTCAGTCGCCAAGTCGGTGCCAAAGGAGCTCCTAGCAAGGGGAGACGACTAATACAAACACTGACCGGTGGCCTTTAAAGGGGAAAGGGTGGCTCTTTCTTAGGAGAAATGCCCCATGGTCCCCAGTCCCGTGGAGGCAGGACTTTGGTGGGCAGATACCAGGCCTCCAGGTTACTGTGGACATACATCCTCGCTCAGCCTCAGGGCTGGGTTTCTGGACTGTGGCAAGAGCTCAGTGCAGCTCCGGAGACTGAAGAGAAAAAAGGGGGGGGGGGCTGAAAAAAAGACAATGTTTTGCCTCTCTGTCCCTCAAGGCCACCCCGGAGCCTGCAGAGGGTGCACTCGCAGCCAGTCCCTCTGGAGAGGGTCCCCGAGGGCAACCAGGACGCCCGCGCCCTGCTCTGGGGTGCACAACGGGGCTACGGGACCCTCTGCACCAAAACCTGGCGCTCTGACTGCCTGGGACAGGCGGCTGTTGCCAGGGAAAGCAGAAACATCAGGACACAAGCCTCTTTTTTTTTTTTTTTAATTCAGATAACCCCCACCTCCAAGTACCCAAGAACTGGTGGATGAGAAGGCAGAAAAAACGGGGGATTCTATGTCCTCAGGGGAGTGAAAAATGAAGAGTCGCCTCCTTTTCCCCCACTCTTTCCCCCAGGCTAGGGCAGAGGACGTGGCCTCCATCCCCAGGGAAGGAGCTGGACAGCTTCGAGGGAGCTTGGGGATGCAGCACGGGGGCCCAGCCAGAAGGGAAAGAAAGGCAGCTGGCCTCTGCCCTCCCGAAGCGGGAAGGGTGTCTGCCGGCTGCGGGAAGTGGAGGGTCGCCGAGCTGCACACCGTTACGTGCAGTGATTTATTATTGTCACCAGTGGCCAATATTGTTCCTGTCTTAACCTGGCCAGAAAGGAGCGGGTCTGGGTCTGTCAGCCGCGAACAGCCTGCAAAAGGGCAAAGATGAAGGTAGGCAGGGCGTGCGAGCCAGGGAAAAAATCCTCCCGGCGCGAACCGCAACCCAGACGCCGACCCGCCCCCTGCGCCCCGACTCAGGCAGCCCGGCAAGGCAAAGCAGCCAAGGAAAGGGGGTCGCGGGACGCGAGAGAACCGATCTCCCTTAACAGCCTACTCTCTGCCCTCCCACTGTGCCCAGGCCCCCACGCCCAGAGAGCTGCCTCGCGCCAGCACCGAGGCGTAGCCCGCGCCCCAGACCCAGCTGGGGTAAGGAGAGGCGCCCCCGGCCCCTGGAACCAGAAGGCGGGCTGTTCCCCTAATGCTACGCGGCCAGCCTCCAGCTACTATCCCCGAACACCAGCGCTTCCAAGGGGTCGGAGAACTACAAAACGAGCTCCCTTTAAGAGCTCTTTCAATCCCCGCTGGAGCGAGGGAAGCACCCAGGACCCCCCAAAACCCACAGAAGCATCCTTCTCACGGCCTTAGTCTCGCCAACCGTCCTACAACTCTAGCCTCCCGATTGGCGCCGGATCAGCAAAGCAAGTCCCCTTTTCTCCAGACTCCAGCTTCCCGAGCCTCCCCCCCACCCCAAACCAGAGCTGGAGCAGACCCCTGGTTTACAATCCTTCTACCCGGCTGGCCCCTGCTTTCACCCTCTCAGACCACCAGTCCCGCCAAACGTCGCCAGAACCAGTGAAGCAGAGCCCCTTTTCCTCCCCGAGGAGCCCGGCCCCCCACCACCCTCTCCAGGGTCTCTAGGACTGGCGCCCAAGCTCCGCGCTCCGGCAACAACTCGGCATACCCAGCGCGCGCGGGCCGGGGCTGCGTGCCCTCGGCCGCCGGCACTCACCGGGGAAGCACACCACATAATGGAGCACGGAACTGGTGATTTTCAGGAACAAAATCCACCAACACGGTTCCAGTAACCTCCGCATGTCCGAAAACGCACATCGAAAAGAAGAAAGCAGGGGGGGTAAACTTGTTGAATAAGTTCTTGCTTCCGTGCGAGCCTCCGCTAAGCCTGGGCGCTCTCCCGGCTCGCCAGCTCCACGGGCCCCCCACGCTCAGCGGCGAGTCCCCCTGGAATCCGGGAAGCCGCCGAGCGCCCCCCCGGAAAATCTCAAAAAGTGACTGAGGATGCAAAGCCACGCTGGGGACGATCCTCTCGGCGGAGAAGGGCTGGTTGCCGTTCAAACAGCAGAGAGCGGAGCGGGCAGGGCGAGGAGTGGGCGGACGGCGACGAAGCCCGGGGCCCGGGGCAGGCAGGGACCGCGGGCGGCGACGGCGAGCAGCCGAGGATCTCCAACTTGAGTCGGCAGCACAGCGCAGCCGGAGAGCCGGCGGGCGGCGGCGGGCTGATCGCGGCGCGGCGTCTCCGGGCTTCAGGCAGGCAGCTCCTTCCAGGGCCCCGGGAAGGAAGGAGGCATGTTTGCGATCGGGGAAGGGGAGGGCAGAGGCGGGGGGATCGAAGGGCCCCCCCAGAATAGAAACGGCCGGAGGAAACGCAGGAAAACACAAAGGATCTCAGAGGGGCGCTGGGGCGAGGGCGCCTTCAGTCCATGCTCCTGAAAGTTGTGGCTCCGGCGCAGGCTGGGGAGGAATCGGGAGCGCGGGGCTGGAAACTGGCCATGCCTCCATACAGGAAGTAACATGTGAGCATGGATCCTGGCAGAGACTTTAAAGCCGGCGAGCGGGCGAGCGAGCGAGCAGGGGGCGCGCAGCGGCGGGGACGCGCTGTGACGACGGGGGCGCGCAGCCCGGGGCAGCCGGCGACGGGAACGCGCGCTCCGCGCTCTTAAAGCGGCCACGCTTGGCTCCCGCCTTCCGAAGGTCCCACAGCTCAGCTTTGCAAGCGCACCCTGGGAGCTGCGAGCTCTACTGGGAAGAGTTTTGGTGGCTGGGGGTGACTCTGGCTCAATCTCGGAGACAGAGGAGGGCGGCAGCCTTCAGGGGCCGACGTGCCTGCCAGATTCCCGTTGTGCGAGTTCTCAAAGACGCTGCGCGCTCCGCGCGTTTGGCTAGATTCCCCAGTCCGCGTAGCTCGCTGATCCCGGACTTGGGGTGGGGTTAGGGGTGGCTTGGCCCGAGTCTGGGGAAAAGACAGAGGCAACCAGCTGCCTGTTCTAAGGCGAGAGGGTTTCCTGTTAGCTTCACTGCCTTGACAGCGCCGCGGTGGGGCGCACCATCCGCGCCCCCTGTTCGCGCCCCCAGCCCAGCGCATTCCCCCACCTAGAAACAAAGCCGAGCGGCCTTTGCACTCGGGTTGCCTTGAGATTTAATTTTCCCCCCTTTTCGAGCTTCCATTGGCCGAGTCCACGACTGGAGAGGGGGGAGGGGAGGGATATCGATCTCAGGCTTACAAAATCTAGCCCTTCCAAGACCCACACCCCCTTTCCCGGAGCCACTAAGAATAGGTGGCGGAGTTTTCCCAACTCGCAGCTCCTCAGGTTCGTGCACCCGAGTCTGACCGCGGGGAGGGCACGGGAAGTGCGCCTCTTACCCCTGGCGGGGTGAAAGCAGCGCCGCGGGGCAGGACTGATTTCCTGGCAGCTACCCGGGGAGCCACTGCTTCTTTAGCAATGGGGAGAGGCTTCCGGGGGAAATGGGAGGACTAGGCTTATCTGTAATGAGTTTTGTCCCTTGGCTCCCGGTGAGAAGATCTTTATCGCTTAGACTTCTAAGCGCCCTATTTTCTTTCTTACGCTAATACTAAAAGTGGGGGAGGCGGGCTTTTGATTAAATGTGTAATTGAGCCAAGATAATTAGCCATTTGTAATTTTTGCCTAATTTCTTCTGCCTCTGTTTAAAAGCGCCGTTGACATGTTTTTAACGTGCCCCTGCAGTTTCATCCCACCCCGGCAGGGTCCCACACACGCCCAAACGTCCCAACCGGATGCTCGGTTTTCAAATAATATACAGATGTTCGGAGATCCTCCCGCAAGATGTGATTAGGGAAGCAATTTCACACCCACGCTTCCAAAGCAAAACCTTTGAAAAGTTAGGTTTGGGATGACAAACTAATAAAAGCCAGGAAGTTCCTGGGGAGGGCCCAAGCTCTATCTTTAGCAGAACGGGGTGAACACCCTGCGCAGGGTGGGGAATGAGGCCAGTTTGTTTGCTTTGGAATTTGGTCCTTCCTGGTTTTGTTGGAGTCCTGAATCCTTTTTGAATGCTTGTGAGGGCCCTTTTTCTTGTAAGTGTTGCGTTTAAGGGACGTTCATGTGTTAGTAGAGGTTTGAGACAGGGTGGAATGACCCCAGCGAACCTAGTTCTTTAAAGGTTAAGTGATACAATGGGGGGTAATCTGTTGAATTTAAAGAACTCTCAGATCAGCATCCTGAGGCGAGTTTCCTCATCTGTAAAATGGACATAATAAAAGCTGCCCTTTGTGAAGCGCTTACTGTCTACCAGGCACCATGCCAAATTCCTTCTATGAACTGTTCGCTGCTTCAACAAAGTTATTGAGCACTGACCTTGCAGAGCATGCTGGGAACACCACACACAACTCTGATAATGAAAAGACAGGGCTTCAGAGTCCCAGAAAAAAAACCCAGAGCGGATTTGGAGAGTGAATCACCACTGTGCAGGGGCCTCATGCTAAAATTTCATCTCATAGTAGGTCTGGGCCTGACTGCCCTCAGGCCCCAGTTTGAAGTTTACCCCAAACTGCTCTCAGAAGCACAAACCAGGGCCCATCTGTTCTTATTTTAAAAAGTTTTACAGGTATTACAGGTACGTTACACAGATGTGTTTCCATTCATTCTACAACCAACCACACAGCATAAGCACCAGGCACTCTTTCAATACTGGTGCCCCAAGATTACCAGGCAGTGACCCTGCCATGCTCCCACCTGATTACAATGTGCACTACCCCTACCCCATGTGGCTGCTGCACAGTCCAGGAAGCAGAGCTGGCCTGAATGTCTTGGGGATGGGAGAGGAAAGAGGAGCTCACTTCCTTGATGGGAAGATGAGAAGGCTTCAATGAGAAGATGCTTCCGTCCCCAGCAAATTACCCTCCATTTAGCAGTTGAAACCGGCACACATTTATCTTGCAAATCTAAAAGTCTGAGTTTGGGGCTAGGGATGTGGCTCAGTGGTAGAGTGCTTGCCTAGCATGTGTGAGGCACTGAGTTTGATTCTCAGCACCACCACATACAAATAAAATAAAGGCATGGTGGCCATCTACAACCACCAAAGAATTTTAAAATAAAATACAGGTATTGTGTCCATCTACAATTTAAAAAAATAATAATACTTAAAAGCCTGAGTTTGGGGCACAGCACAGCCAGATCCTCTGCTCAGGGGCTCATGTGGCTGAAATCAAAGTGTGGGCCAGGCTCTCTCCTTAGGAACTGGGGGTCCTCTTCTAGTTACTGGCAAAATTCAGTTCCTTGTGGTTGTAGAACTGAGATCTTCATTGTCTTGCTGGCTCTTGGCCCAGGTTGTTCTTCGTTACAAGTTCAATTCCACATACAACATGGCAGCTTCCCTTTTTCCAAGCTGGCAAGAGAACCCCGTGTGATTGGCTTGAGAGTAACTATCTGTCACTTTTGCAATATGAACAACTAACTCACTCTTAGGACAAGAGGATTGTATATAAGGGAGTGGGAAATTTAGGGACCATCCTGCTAGTGACCTATGGGGAGTACAGATCCTCCTTAACATATGGGGTTACAGCCTGGTGGGGTTACAGACTTACCCACTGTAAGTCACAGATATCATGAGGCAAAAAAAGCATTTAGTACACCTACTGAACATACTAGCCTAGCAACACAGCAACTGTAGAATATCAGTTCCCTTCAGGATCACGTGGTTAATTAAGAGCCGCTGCTGCCTAGCATCTCAAGAACTCGCGCTAGCCCCTGTCAAAGTTCAAACTTCAAAATTCAAAGTATAGTTTGGACTGAATGCAGATCACTTTTTCACCATCATAAAGCCAAGCCCTCCTAAGTCAGGGACCATCTCTATAGACGGGTGGTTAAAAGCACACTCGTTCTCAAGCTACCTTAGCTGGGTTCTCGTGTGGCTTATTTAAGTGTGGCCAACAGCAAACTTAACTTCTTTGTGCTTGGGCTTTCTCATTTGTAAAGTGGGAAAATAACAGCATCTACTTCCAAATTGAGAGGATTAAAAGGAATTAATATACATAAAGTACTCAAAGTGGTGCCAGGCACCTAATAAGCATTTAATAAATGTAAGCTATTACTGTTATCTGTTCACCCAGCAATGCGATAGAGAGCGAACATCTGTTATTTTCTAGCTGCGCAGGCTTCCATTTCTTCTAGTAATAACACCCCGGTTTCCCTATGTACAAATCTCCCCAGATGGTCTTGGTGAGTCTCCTCCAATCTTTCCCCACCCCTTACTCTCTGCCTCCCTACTTCACTTGCTGTGGGGAGCAAGCATCTCAGCCCCCCAACCTGACCAGCCCTGTTTCCACTTGGTACAAGGAGAGTCAAACTTCCTCTTGGGTTGGCCAGGATGGATGAACTTAAGCCTTGAAGTCAGAGGGGAGGGGCCAGCTGCATTGAGGCTGCCTAAAGATGAAATGAACATAAGGAAGCAGAACAGAGCAGAGGTGGGGGCCAAGGAACCCCCAATATCTTCGCTGGAGTCCTTGAATTAAGTTATACCTGAAGCCAGAACCAACTGGGCTTTTCAATTACCTGAGCTGATAAATTCCTCTTACTTGGTTATTCCTCTTTGAGTGGAGTTTTATTGAAACTAAAAACCTGAAATCTGGAACCAAGGGTGATGGGTACGTAAAATGTCCACATGTCACCAAAGAAGGAAGCAGGAGCTGATAGAACTAAGTGATTTAGTTGAGGTGATTGAGATGGTCAACCACAGAAGACTCGAGCTTCTGACACCAGATCTATTGTATCAATCACTTATTGTCAGGTTCACGAATCACTCCAAAATTTAGTAGCTTGAAGCAACACCATTTTTGCTTGTTCTCGATGCTCTAGACTAAAAGTTTGGGCGGGACCCAACTGTGCAGTTCTGCCGGCCTCATCTGAGGTCGTTCGTGCAATGACAGTTCCAGCATGCCGAGGCTCCGCTGGGGCCACATCATTTAAGAAAACTTCATTGCTTATGCAGTGTGGTGCTGGCTGTTCACATCCATTTGTCTTTGCAGCAGCCCATCTTAGATCCATTCACAAAAAGATCTTAGGACTGACGGAGATCCATGCCAATAGCTACCAGGCATCAGGAGACCCAGGCTTAGCGACCGTATGACATCACTTCCACTGCATTTTATTGGTCAAAGCAAGTTGCACCACCAGGTCAGATTGAAGAGGAGGTGGAAACAGACTCCGGCTCTTGATGGGAAGATCAGCAGAGTCACATCACAAAGGGACATGGCTATAAGACTGGGAGGAATTGTGGTGACCTTCTTTGCAAATGAGGTACCTCGTCTACCAACTGTTATTAAAACTAATTGGTGGGGCTTAGCATGTGCAAGGCCCTGGGATCATTCCCAGCATTGAAAAAAAAAAAAAAGAAGAAGAAGAAGAAAGAAAACTGCTTTTGGTTTGTTTGTGGTACTGGGGAGGGAACCTGGAGACACTTTGCCAATGAGCTACATTCCCAGCCCTGTATTTTTCATTCTGAGATGGGAGGTTGTAAACTTGCAATCCTCCTGCCTCTGCCTC